GGTAAGCGCGCGGCATTTAATTAGGCGAGCTCGGGGCTTACGCGGCTGACGACCGAGCGATGCCAGCCGCAGCCAGCGCGCCTACGCGCGAGCGAGTCGACGACGGGGCGCTAATCCTTGCGAGGTGCGGCAAATCGACGCTCCGACGGAACGCGGACCTGTCGCACGAGCTAATCCGATAAGCCGCGCGTTCGTCCCCCAAGTTTTTCATCCGGCCGACGCCAAGGCCGCTGCCGCGAACTGCCGACAGCTTTGTCGGCCTGCGCCTCGCTGCCTGCAACGAAGAACGCTCGCACACGCTCGATTGGGCTCCGATCGCGCGCGCCCGCGCGCGGCGCCATCCTCGCCCACGCCCAATGCCACATCCGCCTGAATTTTTCTCTCCGTCGCAGCTATTCCGGAGCGGCGCGAGCAGCGAGCGAGAGAGCTGGCTTTGATGAGTGAAAGGCTGTATCGCTCGCAATAAGCCCTGTACTGTGCTTGATGACGCGCGCGCCTACATTGTCGAGGCGGAACAAGCCCGAATATTCGGGATTCCAATATGAACACGACAATGGCTTGGCGCCGAGTCACGAGCACAATGGAACCGTTATGGAGATCTGCCGATGATACTCAGTCAGCCGTCGCGCGCGCTCTCGGTGCGGCCTCTCCCCGGCCCTCCGACGCGGGACTCAACCGCGACAAAACGCACTCGTGGAGTGCCTCGCCACTCATTGCTGCTAACGATTTATGTCGAAGGCGCGAGCCGCGCGACGGTGGGGCGCCGTTCGATAAAAGCACAGTGCCGCAAAAAAGCAACGGTGCTCGAGGGCGCCGGCGGCGGCAGCCCCGGGCTGCCAACCAACGTAGACAAGTTGGCGCTGCTCCGAGGGAAGCGGCCCCAAATCTCGGCAGGGGCGCTCTCGTGTCTTGAGGCTTGCACAATGTCCATTTAAATTCACTTCCGCCATTAATCTAGCAGCGAGGAGCGGCTGGGAAGGAGGCTGTGTGCCGTCTGTGCCGCCTGCGAGGCCTATAGGTGTCGAGTGTACTCGCCCTGCTAACGTCGCCGGCACGGCCACTACTAATTCATCACGTCTGCGCAAGAGCGAGCGAGCCTACGGCTTTGATTTTCGCCGAGGTGCCCGAAGCCGATATTGTGCTCGATCAAGAGTTCGCAAAGGCCTACCAGCTACAATCCACTATTATCCGCCGCCCACACCCCACCCCGAGTACTTTAACCTTTAATCTTGCCCGTCGCCCAATGTTGGCACAACTCTGTCCTGTTTGTTTGTATGCTTTTCTTATCTCTACTTCGACCTCGGCTCTGACAGACTTCGGGCACTGCCTATTCGACTGAAACTCTTTACTCGCACCGAGTCGACTGTCCTCTGCTTCTTTTCCATCAAAGCAACTTCGTTTTCATACTTTTCTGAAGAAACAATCATCTCACTGCTGATGCAATTATTTCATTTCAATAAATCAATCGAGTCATACATTTCGACACAAATCTTTTAAATGTCGTGCGCGGAAAAAGGAGCTCTTTGATTATTCATTCGTTAAATATCGCCTCTTCGATCGCTCAGTCGATTTTTAATTTCATTATTTTATTCGCTAAAAAAATTATTCCAAATCTATAAATGACAATCCATTGATCTTTGATTTTCTTTATTTTGTCCACCGATTACAATTATTTGGTAAGCACAAGACAGGAATGATGGTCATTTACCAAAATACTATGTTAAAATCTATAAAAGACAATCCCTTGTCCTGGGATCTCAAATCGTTAAAACAAAAATTTTTCTCGCTAGAACCCCCGAATTTTTATCCTCTTCTTATTTCAGATATATATTAACGGAAGGTGCTTACAAATATTGTCAAAATTCGCACCAGCTATTTTTTTTCTTACCTTTATATTTTAGGTATCAAGCAAACTTTTACTCGTAAACTGAGCTAGCTTCTATTTACAACAATTTAGAAGGCTGATATAGATAGGAAAAATTAAGAGATGAAATTTGACACCTTGCAAATGAAACGGTTTTTGTCGTTTTTCACTGACTTTTTGAATCAATGACAGACGTGTTAAAAATGGTCGTTTTTTATCCGAAATTCGACACCTACAATGTCTCAAATTTCACTAGAAAAATTATCAATTTTAAAGAAATAAAAATTCGAAGTAAGATTGCGGAACGTTGCTTTCTGCAATGGTTTTTGAATAATATTTCTTCTTCAAAAGAGTAAGCTACATTAAGATTCGTAAAATGTAATTCTGATAGATGTTTACATCAACATACCAAAAAATGGTGCAGCAATAATAATATTTTAGAACGATGCGCCAACTAATTTTAAATTGAGAAGAGGTTCATGAGCAATCAGTTCGACAATGGGATATACGGAGTGAGTGTGACGATGATATTTTAATAGTATATAAACATTTTTATGTATGTACTCGAAACTGTTTTAGTATAACAACTTTAGTGCTAATCGTCGATGAAGAACTACATAAAGGAACAAATATGATACGAGATGAGAAACAGTATGCAATAAAAACGAGACTGGTCGCACGACTAATGTGCAGATTAAACAAGCGAACTTTAGTGCAGTATGAAACAGCCGAATATTGCCAAATATGTGAATTGGTTTGGCAACGGTTGTTTGCTAACGGCCTCGGCACGCTCAGCTCATTACTTTCCCAGTTTGGTACACAACCGCCGTGTTTACTGTCACGTGATGTATAAATGCAAAATGTTAATTTTCAATCAAAATCAAGATTATCATGCCGAATAACATTGTCAGCCAAATAATATACCTTGCGGTGGAAAAATTACTTTCCTTCTTCACTCGATGCTTTTTAATAACACAATGCCAGTATAAACGATCAAGAGGGCATCGTTGACTTTACGAGCGTCGTAAACCCAGCAATTATTTGCAGAACTTGCATAAAGCGAAGCTGATTGGAATCTTTTTTTAAAATATCGCGTTAGAAAATCTGAAGATTTTTGTCAAGCAGTTAGTTGTAGCAAAAGCGCTCGTGCACACGAATGGACTTAGTGACTCGTGATTATTTCCATCTTTTGATCGACACGATGCTTATCGAAAAAGCCGGCACAATGCGCTTAGGACTGCGTCAAATAGAAATAGAGGAGCACGTACTCTGCACACAGGTGCTGATAAACGGCTGAGTGAGAGAGAGAGAGAGAGAGAGAGAGAGAGAGAGAGAGAGAGAGAGAGAGAGAGAGAGAGAGAGAGAGAGAGAGAGAGAGAGAGAGAGAGAGAGAGAGAGAGAGAGAGAGAGAGAGAGAGAGAGAGAGAGAGAGAGACGAAGAGTCGAATGCTTTAGCTGGGTGCTTGTGACTGGGTAAGGGTAGCATTTGCGCGGCCGTAAAAGTGAGGAAGAAGGCTGGTAATTGGCGGCCGAGCGAAAGCTCTGCTGCTGCAGCGGCGGTGGCGGCGGTGGCGGCGGTGGCGGCGGCATATCGGGCGTCCGCATGCAGCTTGCAGGCACATGCAGGTGCCTCTTCCTGTACGCTTTTCATAGCGAAGCAATTTGCATACTGAACAGCCGCTGCATTGTACTGGGAAATTGAACTCCTCCGACGGGCAAGCAAATGTAAGGGGCCAGGCGGCGCTTCGTTATTTCGTTTTTATTCCGAGCCTTTGGGCCGCGCCTAGCACGCGAAACCTATATTTTTTTGCCTTTGTCCTATTGTGGGGCTCTTTTATGCGCGCGCGCTGCGAGCGTGTCAACAGTCCCCTTGAAAATGCGAACGCGCCGGACTCATCGGCCGAGCACTGGCGGACGGCTGGCGCTGCGGCGCCGAGAGCCCTACACTGATAAAGAGCCTCGCGCCCGGCGCCGAGCCTCTGCCATTGTTTATTCTGGCCGCGATGCGATCCTCGCTTTTGTTTTTTCAACAGCCATTGTTGCGGCTCGTCGTGCGCGCATCCCCGTCCTCGCCGGCAGATCGTCATCGAGCAAAGTCGTGTGCGTACCAACCTTTTTAACTTTGTCCCTCCGCATGCGGCTCACGGGATCACGGTCCTCGCCTCCGGTCGTCAGGGGCAGCTTGTCCGCCGGCTCGGCCGGCACCGTCTCCTGCCTCTCCACCCACTGGCGCACCGCCGCGACGCTCGACGTCGAGCTGCTCGCGCGCGCTTCTTTGCCCCATTGCGCCTTCGCCAATTCCGGCTTCTCCAGAGTCTTGTGGTTCTGATATTCCTCGTCGATTTTCGCCTGCAAACCAGATCATTGACAGTTCAATCGATGCGAAGAATCGATGGTCGATGGACGGAAAGCCGCGCGGAAAGCATATCGCAGCTCTGCTAGTGCTCCGCTCGAGTGCCACATTAGCCCGGCTGTCCGCGAGTGTGTGTAGAAAGCTACGCGATAGCGCGCGCCAGCCCGCTCTCGGGGCCCGCGATAAGCGCGCCTGCTCTAATGCATCGCTGCACTGATTTTAGATGCGATAACAGCGGCAACTCCAGTGCGCAAACTTATTACCAATGAGTGAGCGAGGTCAGCGCTTTCGTAGCAGCGATCAGCCGCGTCGGATCTGTGCCAGTGTGCACGTACACCTACACGCGGATAGATTCGCAGACTGGCTGACAGGCAGAGCCATCTAGTGATGCGTCGTGTCGAGCGTGGCGTTAGCTCTTCGAGCTGATTCCTAGCTCCTACGTAAACAGCCACGCGAATGCCAAATTTGCCCCCGCTAGCGTCTAAACATACGCGCGCGCTCGCAATCGCCTCGTTCAATTTCTTTGGCGCAGTGTACGTGCTCCTGGCTCCGGCAGCCGCCCCCTGTACGCGTCCAGCCAAATGTTTGCAAAGTACACTTTCTAATCTACCGAAGCTATATCAATGACAAAGCTGCCTTGTCTTTTCGTCTTTACCTGCTTGGACCTTACGCCACGTGAATTTACACGGGAAAGTCCGTTATAGTTCAGAAGATATTACAAAAGAGATAAAAGCGCCGTTCACTAACCAAGTTCGCTTCAAAACTTCAGACTTATATAAGTCTCGGAAAGTCCAACTTCATTTTGCTCATTTTAGGATATCTTGCGAACGAATAGATTTGGCATTCTTATTCTAGTGCTATCGGAATTTCTTCTTGATCGCTATTCGCAAAATCATTTTTGCCAGAAGACAGATAACATACCTTAGTGCTTTAATTGCATCACTTTTGAAAAGTCGAACAAGGCGAAATCGACTTGTTGGACAAAATTAACGTGACACACTAAGAAATAACTCTGGCAAGCTCAAAACGTTGTTCAACCTAAAAACGACGAGCTGACTTTCTAAGCTTCGTTTGTGTGAAAAAAATATCGTTTAATGTTTACTTTGTCGGGAAAAGCTCTGTGTTTAACTAGCTCTTCTTCGCTTGCTTACTTGAAATGAAAAACCAAAAAAAAAAGATTGAGTAACAAGCTTAAAACAACCATCACTTGCACACCGTAATCTGTATCAAACCCTGTGTATACTTTTATATTCCTCCTGTAACATTTTTATTGACTCAATATCGTAAAAAATATTTAACCTTGTTTTCATGCATTACTTCAATGAAAATAGTTTCCAATACGAACTTTTTAAAGTGTAAAAAAGTCAAATCGAATAATACGATGCGATTAAATGCATAGCTATATTAATCTAGATTAAAACACAAATGTTAACCCATTCCAATTTCGAAAAAGTGGATTTTTTGATGGGATGGCATAAAAGGACATAAGACAAACTTCAGTTTGGACAATCCAAATATCTAAATATTTTAAATATAAATAGAAGCCTAATCTGCTGAACGCAGTCACACCCGCATGCACGCGTGCAACATCGAGGAATTTTATTCGTTAACCCGGGTGGACTGGGGGGCGATGACGTCAATCGACACTCTTACGCCTGGGCTTACGCGATCGACCTAAAAGACGACTCCTAATAGCTTGATAAATTTCGTTTATTTGAAAAGTGAACTTAATACGGATTTTTTATAGGAAGAGTAGGATTTGCGTTAAAGAACGATTATGTCCATTGCAAATCTTGGTGTTTTCTTCCAGTGTATTTTGATTTTCTAATTGTGAATTTTAAAAACAAACAAGTGGAAAATTGTCAATATAATCGTTGCCAAACTCTTAATTTGTTAAATTAAGAATCTTACTATTGAAAATACTATAACTTTTCATCCTTAATTTGATTCATAATAAATATAAAACATGATGCGGACTGATAGTTATGATCAATCGACAATGGCTTTTTTCTAAAAAAAGTTTCAATCTCAACAAGTATGCCTAATGACTGTCGTTTGTGGTAATTACTTAGAAAATAGAAAAAATATACATTTGAAAAACGTTGCAAGCTAAAATTAATATTTCGAACACAAATATTTTACAATAACGGGTAACGATGAATTGAATACAACCAAACATGTTATCATTTAGTTATTTGAAATTGCAAAAAGTATGACTTAGAGCCGGAAATAATATATTTAAACGAGATAAGAATGCCGAACAGCTTGCAGGACAGATGGTTTTTACTCGGTTGCGACTCCCAACATCTCTGCCGCTGTCCATGAAAATATCGTACCTCGTAATTTTATTAGTATTGAACATATATCCTAGAATCCATTACAATGTATAAAAATTGGCATACTCTACATTCATGAATTTTTTTATTTTTATGATTATTTATTCAACATTTGTGCTGCTGTTTTTCAATGTGCTGTATCTAATGTTAATAATTATTTTCACTTATTATTTCGTTTGAAGTAATTAGAGAAGCACACGAAGTCATGTTTCCTTATTGTCCCCCTTTTTTTATGCTATTTTGCTGTTTTTGGCCATTTGTCAGTGCGTGCGTTAGCATGTTGGAATTTCTGCAATTTTTAAGATATATTTATATCTTCAAATATAACTGGATTTTGAAGAAAAAATGTTCTCCAAATTATCAAAATCAGGACTTTTGCTTCATTCAAGTAAAATTTTTAATCTAGCAATCCTTGCAAAATTTTGCTTTTTGGCACAAAATGTTGGTTATTTGGATACTTTTACATATTCTACGACTAGTAAATAGAATAATTTTAATATATTACTTCATCTAAATCAATAAGAAGTTTTTAAACTTGCTATCTGTTTTATTTCATTATTTGATCATTATTGTGTATTAAGTGTTTTTGTTCAAATTTATTGTGTATAATTTAATTATTCTTTAAATATATGTATGGCATTTTAATGTCTTGATCAAAGGAGTTGTCGTGCAAAAACTAACAACTTTTTATAAAAAGAGAATATAAGACATTTTTCTGTTTTTTAAATATTTCTTTACGTATGCACGAACTTTTGGCATTTTTGTAATTTTCTAGTTATATTGTTTAAATTTGGTATTTCTAGATATTATTTATGTGAGTGTGGTATTTACAATTGCTTAACGGTGGATAGTCTAGGTATTTCGCAGTTTGCAATATGACGAAGTTATTGTTATTATGTTATCATAAGGAACAGCGACGACGAAGAGAAATTGTAGTTGTCGTAATAAATTGCTTGTAAACTGTGTCATCACACCGCTTAGTTGCCACAAAATCAGGAAATCATCTGAAAATGATTGAATGTGATATTTAAATCAAGGATATTTTTACCTTAATCTTATTTTCGCGGTAAAATAATAATAAAAAAACAAAGTGGCCTTTTTTATTATCCGTATGCAGCGAGAGGCCGGAAGAATTCTTTGTAGCAACACTATAGCAACCGTTCAGAGATCCGTTCCAATAGCAGCTGTGGAGGATCGCATTGTGCAATCATTTTTCCCCATACCCATCGTTCGACAGCTTCATCTCAAAACTATATCACGTTGCAATTTGAATACATCACAGAACGCCAGCGTAGCCAATGATCAAAAGAAATGTCCTGCGCAGTGAAGAAAAAGTCACAAAGCATCTGCACGTTTTCACAAATCATTATTTATTAGTTTATGTATGTAATTTTCTGTTTAATATGTCACATAGATTTAGTTCCTTTAGCAAGAGAACGATGTTTACAACTATATTATTGTATAAAGAATTATTTAATTAAATATGTCAATCGGTACGATTATATTCTATTCTGAAGTTAGTTGAGATTTTTAAGCAAAATAAAACAGCAATGAAATAATATTGGTATGTATCTATAAGTAATTTTTATGAAAAGTGAAAGTCTATGTAGTAACGGGCACAATTTACAAACATCGCGTCTCAAAAATCATCAATGAAAAATTTTCATTAAAATTCATGCAAAACTTTTGTGTATTTACAGCGGAATCGTTAACACTTGTAAAGCTATGTCAACTCTTGAACAGTCTTACAATGAATAGTTTGTGTGTGTGTGTGTGTGTTTACAGATTTATAAAAACAAAAAGAAATTGTTTAGCACCCATAAATATTTCCATATCATTTCATGCAGCATCATGCTGGTTATACAATTAATTTACTAGTTAATACATTTTTCCGGCACAATGTTTGTCGTTATTTAAAGTGAAAATTTTTAAAAGACTTATAGGCACAAAATCAGAAATTTCGAACGTTCGGACTGAACAAACCAGTGACATTAATGCTATTAAGATTAGATTCCAATTACTACCTAATAATCAATGAATATCATGGTGACATAAGTAGGAGAGAGTGGATGAATATGGATCCTTCAGGTAATATGAACTACCTCTTAATTTCTATAAAGATAAGTACCCTGGGTGTCGGAGTTTTTTTTCACTATGTTTATTAATTACTTCACACTGTATTCCATAAATTTTTGGCCATCATCCGCTTTTTGAAAATTTTAACATATTAGTAACCAATGTTTCTTAATTATGATTCAGCATATAGCATACGTCCAAACTACTTATTAATTTTCCCATTTACTTAATCAACGATAAATACGACGTCATTTTCAAAAAAAGCCTTGTTTTTGTAAAAAAAGCCTTTGGGGGAATATAAATCACTAATACTTTGGGTAATATGGACCATTAAAAAATTTCGTTACATTCAATTATACCATATTTCTTTACTTCATTAAATTATTTTCACTTTTATACATTTTTTATAAGGTTACGAGGCAGTCACGAGCATCTAGCCATTTCTGAATAACGACTGCTAGTTTTGTTTTCAAATAAATGATTATATATTGATTTTATAAAACTTATGATTAATTTATATTACTAAATTGAATAAGGATGTATATTAAGTAATATTCCTATGCAATATTCGATGTCTGTTAATTACTTAAAATAGTTTTATGATCTGTTAATCATATCAATGAATAAATAAATAAATTACTATCTTACCAAGAATATTTCTCGCGACTATTTTTTGGAAGTGAACAATTATTCTAACATCAAAATGTCTTCAAGAAAAATATTTAGTGAACGTTCGTCTACCTAGTTTATAGCAAGAATTTTGTGAGATGATTTATAAGAAATATTGAGTGGAAATTACCGTTTTGAAGTTTTAATGTTGCTACAAACAAATACTTCTGATTTGGAATCTGAATGGGACAGCAATAATAAGGAAAATGAAAATAATGATGAAGTACGAGTACGTAACGACAAAATTCATAATCTGTTATCATACAAACAAATTCATGAATAATATATACGTAATTAGAAAAATCTCGACAATAACCATAAATATGAATGGACAACAGGTGGAAAATTACATAGTGAAAGTACTATAAATTAATATTTATTTAAAGAATTTATATTTATAAAAAGAAAGTTTCTAGTTCGCTACTGAGTTATTTAAAATATTTCTCTTTTCTGAAATAAATACATATATTCAAGAAGCAACTGATAAGAATGGCATAACTGTGTCGCTGTTTAATGTGAATGTATTTATTGGAATTATAATATTGTCTACATTCAATATGTGCGATGCAATAAGAGATTACTAGTCAACGAAGCCTTATCTATAACGTCCTGCAGTCAGATCAACCACATCTAGGGATATGATTTTTGTATTATAAAAGGTGAAATAAAGGATGTGAAACATTTTAACCAAGATTTTAGTGACCTAGCTTGGTATGTTTAGAAAATTGTTGAAATATTCAGGCGAAATATCAAGTGCTTTAGATCCTTTCTGATTTTTTTTCGTGTAGATGAGATGATGGTAAAAGTTTTTAATAGACTTAATAAAACAATTCATACAAAATTAACCAGTCTGTTTTGGCATAAAATTATAGGAGGGGGTTCTTTGTATAGTCGATGGTTTTGTACTTGATTGTGATATATATGATGAAAAAAATTATGTAATAAATAAATTACAAAAATTACACTAGGCAATCGAATTATCTATATAATAAATGTAGTGTCCAAGAAGTTGTCCTAATATTATTTCTATTGTGACGATTATTTTACTTATCTGGACTTATTTATACATCCCCAAAAGATAGGTCTACGAGCAACTGATGTAGTTAGAAAGGATAAAGTGAAGAAAAAAATTAGCTAGACAAAAATAATGTTAGAGAAACGAGGAACTCATGTCGTCAAGCATAACAAAAACAATGGACTGAACTTTATCACATTGATGGACTCCAAAGAGGTGTCGGTACTTTTGACAGCAACAGGAGTAAGTTCTATCAAGACTGTTAGACGCTATTCGAAAGAAGAAAAAAGTAAGAAAGAGATACCGATGGCAATCACATTTTACTTATATAATATAAAAATATAGGTGAAGTTGATGTGCATGATAAATATTGTAAAGTTTTTTCGTCATTGTGGAGTAAAAATAAGACATTTTCAATTTTTGATAAATTGATGTAACCATCTCTTATTAATGCTGTTATTTAATAAATAGTATTAGGCGAAATGAAAAAAAAGTCTGAAAAAATTTGCTATAAGTGTTTTTAAAAAGACTATGAATGTTACGTACTATAAATTCATAAGTCAGAGTTCGATTCGCTTTTAATGTATTTCACATAAACATCATAACAAAATGTTAAAAAATAAAAAAAGGTAAAATAAAAAAAGGTAAAATAAAAAAAGTTATAAATTTTTTAAAATTAAGGGTCCCCCTACCCCTACATAGATATACTAACAAATAGGACAATCTTTGCTCCATAGTTTCGGTCCAAGTATTGATTAAAATGATCCAAAAAAATATAGATCGGTAGATTTTATCAATAAGAGTACAATGAAGTCATTTTGGATTATTCGGTCCACCAGTTTTTCCAAAATAAATTTTTGAAAATGAACTCGCAAACGTAACATATTGACCTGCCATTTTTCATGTGTTGAAAAATGTAAATAAACCTCAAATAGTATTTTGCTAACGTTAGTTGATGAAGAGGCTAAACATAGTTGACAAATATAACCTTACATAAAAAAGCCATCCATGTGGAGCGGATTACAGCCGATTGGTTATGATAGATCAGAAGGTTTGTTCTCGCATGCAGTTGGAATAATTAGGATAAGCGCGTTCTTATGAATGCGTTGTGTCAAGAGTAAAGATAAAAGAAGATAAAAGATTAAAGATTAAAGAACATTCTCATGATATTATTATGAAATTCTATTTTATTGCGGCAACTGTGATATCACAAATATCATCTTACAACGTACAACCTACAATGATTTGAGGTTTGTTTACACTTTTGAACAAATGGAAAATGGTAGCTTAATATGGGATAGTCAGCATTATCTTTTTCTATATCAAAATAAACAATTTTGAAGAAAAATATCGAAACAATTGGCATTTGTTTATGGATAAAACGTTTTATTTAAAAATCGTAGGCTAATTTAGTTTGTGTTAATGTGACAAAAAAGCCGGTCTATTGATATAGATTTGATTCAACTTTTTTTCAACGATATTTAGTTAAAAAGTTACAGCGCAAAATGCTGTGCTCGAATTTTGTCCTTTCAGAACGAAAAAATTTAAGATTACTATAAACCTAAATTTCCTCATCAATGTCAATCAAAAAAATACTTTTGTTTTTCATTTGACAGAATGATTCTCCAACTTAGAAAAAATAGGAAAACACTTAATGCGATCTCTAAAATTAGTTGATTACAATTTTGAATATGTAAATGTTAAAACTTTTTATTTGTTTTTTTTTATGGCCCCCGATAATTAAAAATTAATAGGTTTAGTTGAACACTGCTGGACCACCTGTTTGAATTTCTTGAGGTCTATTTATACATTGATAACTAAAAGTAAAAATAAGCATTTTTAAACAATTTATCAATACAATTACGTTTTAATTTTAATTCAGCATAATTACACAAATAACATTAATAACACAAAGATTTGTTCTAGAAATTAGTTAACTCGTAGAAAGCATTTTTTAGATGACGTAGGTCGTCGTCAATTATCTAATAACCATGTCATGATGAACTTTGGTACAGAAAATAACTAGGTATCGTGAACACTAATCTGATATAATTTTTGTACGGGTAGAGACACTTCAAGTCGAGACAAGATAATTTAATTTTAAGACCTAAAATATTTATACTGTTTTAAAGGTTTCCGAAGTTCCAACTGAATGTCTAATTTTAAAAAACATTTGCCAATATTTCGAATTGGTACGAGCTTTAACATCTCAAAATTAAGAAAAACGAATTCATCCGTTCATTCATTCTTGGAAACTTCTGAATTGAATAGAATTCGCAAAATATAGATATTTTGTTTATTAAATAGATTTACATTTTTCTCCAAAAACGATAATAAACTTCTTGGTATATGAAAAAAAACTCTTCATAGACTATTTAAATACTCAGTGAAATAAGATATTCAAGAAATTACATGAATAAATTGCAAATATACATTGGGAAAAAATATTTAAGAAATTATATAATTGATAATGATTCCAGTAGATAATATTATGTTTTAAGAAGAAGTTTATGAAATAAAGTGGAAAGTATCGCGAATGTAAGAATATTTCAATTCGGATTTTAATGAAAAAAAGTAGCACACAACGATGAGAATAGTAGCTGTCGTGTTGTTGCGCGATCGCGCGAGCTAACGGTGAGCGATTTGAAAGTCGCGAAAGGTTTACTAGAATCGCGCACTTACTTTCATCCTTTCTCACGTACCGTATACCATTTACATTTTACTCCGACTAATCCCAACTCATGCAAAATTCAATATCTTTTATATAAATGTTTTCGCACGACACAATTCACATTTATCTTCATTATTCCATACATTTTTTAATAAATCATTCAATTAGTGTGATTTGCCTACTATATTTTCGTGTATTGTGTATCGTCTAAAAGTGCATCCACACGCGATTTCAATCATCTAAAGAATGACATATTATAATGACACGCTTTCTGCATATCACTCGACGTATTCTAATAAATTGGATATAAACGTTGATACGCTCATGTCAATTGAGTATGTGATTTAGCTTCTACTCTATAAGCATTTACGAACTTGACAGCATTTGAATATGGAACACATGAAGATTGAATAAAAAAACCAGTATTTTAATTTTTCAAAAGCGGAATTCGAAAGAAGCAATAGTGTTGCGAAAAATTTATATAGCAATCTAAAACGGTAAGCAAGAAAATGAATCTGAATGGTCAGTTTCACCAATAGGATATATATAGAGCAAAGGAAAGCATGCGTTCAGCTTAGTATGACATTTGGGAATTGCTCGGCTACCGTGCAAACTCCAAATAAGAGAGCGCATATAGTTTCGAGGTTATGTAGGCGATATATACCCAATATGAGAAGGAAAAGATGCGCGATATATGCAGCAGCCAGCTAGCAGCAGGGCATGCAAAACGGAGCAGCTGAGCGAGTCAACGTGAGAAAGTTAAGTATCGCGTAAAAGCCGAAGGAGGGCACATAACAGGCGACACGAGTCGTGAACTTGCTCTGGAATATCTTTCACTTTTGCCAAGTGATCAATGGAATAAAATGAAATGAACTTTGGCGAAGAGTTGCAAGAATTCTACCTGGAGTTTCAATTTGTCCTCGACGAGATGGGGATCTTCGGCCCTGATGTCCCCGTGGTGCATTGGCACGGCATTGATCCGGTTGTTGCTCTCAAAATTATCGTCGTCCTGGGACCTGGGTGGCGCCGGTATGAGCAGCTCCGGGCCGGCCTTCTGCATTCGTTGGTACACGCGGTAGACACTGTTGACACCGCCATTAGCGCGAAAGTCCTCGGGCAGGAAGAAGAAGGCGCCGAAGCAAACGATGCCGAAAGTAAGGAACACGAGGAGTATGAGGTACTTCTCTCGTGGCCGGAAAGAGCGCCGGCTGAACAGCTGGGCCGGCTGCACGCCGCTAACGATGCGCTGATAACTCGGCAGCAGCCCAGCGCCAGCCACGGGTGACGACATGATTGTCGTCCTGGCCGCCGTGCACCTTTACGCGACAACTCGTCCGTCTGACCGATGACTACTTAGCCCTGCCTCGACACCCGCACCAAAGCATACAAAGCAAACGAGCACACTGGATCACTGGACACGCGCACCTTGCCCACTTATCTCCTTGATAATTTTTGACTGTAAGACGCGATTGTACAGAAGATGACAGCGTTCACAGCACTGACACGCTCTGTAAACGTTACGCACAGAGGTTACAGCTGCAGACTGATAATTTGCCAACTGCGACAATCACGTAGTGACCTTTTTGACAGAACACCCAGGACGAGCCGACTTCGCCTGACCGAATTTAGCCCGTGGCAATCGAGCATGAGATAGAGGTTAGAAATGCCGCTATACTTGGCGAGAAAACCAGAGAAGGAGAACGAGTGACGGGCTGCAGCAAGAGAGAGAGAGGTACAACAACAACGGATTCGACGCTCACTCTCTCTCAGAAACACACACACATACAGCACTCTCACAACGTGGTCTCACTCAGGTCTGTGAAGTGGACACCCGAGTATGGATGAAAATTTTTAGAAAATATTCATCAATTTGTGTAGAAGCTGCGCGTTCAGAACCCGTGATCAAATAATTTGTGCAACTTTTAATTACGCCAGTATTAATTAATTAAAGTCGGGTGCTGGCTAAACTTCGATTGCGATTTTCTCGTGGAAATACTGAAAATTTCCGAATTCTGACGACTCCATTGAGTTGCGCGTAATTTGTGCATCAAGAATATGTGGTCCTAATTGAAAAAAAATCAAAGGGTGCGGAAGGAACGATAAAAAATATAATTGGCATTTGATCAATAATCATTGCGCGCGGCACATGCGCACAACGTCGTTCTAACTACCAGCGAGCGGCGCTGACTGTCAGTACAGCTGTTATTGCAACTGCAACTGCTCTAATTTAATTTGCTAGGAGTGTCAGGGAGACAATACGCTGATGGCTGTTGTAAATTTGCCAGAAGAATCTTTTAGAGTATGTATTCTTTTTAATTTAATAACTTATCAATCAATTAATCATTAACTGTACACTGAAAAAAGTACATTGAAATTGCGCCAGCAAGCTATTTTGAAACTACTTCATGTACTCAGAGCATGCCTGTAATGACTTTACTTGCGTATAAATGTAATTTTTACACAACATTAGTATTGTATTAATGCTTAGTATCCAGATAAACATTATATTCACATGAGAGTGTTTGATATTTTTAGAAATGAAAAAAAAAAAGAAATGATACGTGTGATTTATAACCAAGAATATTAATATTTTCACTACCAACTCAAGGTTTCTGATAACTATAGTTGCAACTCATACCTAGGAATGAATACTGAATTTTTTACATCATGTTTTTAATCAACAGTTCAAGAAGATTCCACTAGGCCCGGACATCCAGCCTTAGTCAATCAGTGTACCCAACAATGAAGCAATGATTCCAGGACAATCACATTTGCTGCACCAAATCCAAGAAAAAACAGAATTTCCATAGAGCCGCTCGAGTATTGATAGATTTTTATTTAATTTACTTAGCGTACATGTAGCTACATTAACAAGATAATTAATAGTAATGAAGTTGCTTATAACTATTTTCGAAATTTGCATTTGGATAAGGATACTGATTTATTTATACCAATATATGTGTCTCAATTTTCAGAATCTAAGAGTTTCTGCATCGTAGTTATTCTCCCCAGTTGCTGCAAATGGAAATTGAATGGATCAACTCATCAGCCACTACTTGATACCTGAAAAAAGAAACCAGTATGAAATGAATTATGTAAGACAAATTTCATTCAAGAATCGCTACTCATATACTTTTTCAATTGATTTTTCGTACACCTACGCGTTCACCTTTGCGTACACAACCATTGATAGTTTGATGTTGTCAGGTAGATGAACAATGTATTTCGCTGATGTAGATAAATCATCTTTTCTGATCCATCTATTGTTTACCAGGCAGTAGGCCCTATAATGGTTCAAATCTTTGTTGATTTCTTCGATTTCTACGACACCTATTAATTTATATCTACTACGACGTATCAAAATGGTTTCAGGGCATGAACTGTTGATAGTGTGGTGTAATTCTGAGCTAGTGAAAATAAATTCGGTTTCGAGAAACAGAATGTCTCCAATATCGTAGATTAATTTTTTTGTAATTTTCTGACATTTTGGACAGGCATCTAACTCCGGTTCATCAAAAATATCATTCAAACATTCTTGCAGATTTTGCATTCCGTCTTTCCTATTTATAATTTTTGCAGCCTCTCTAAAAGGGAACACTAATGTATTAAAGTTTTTCGGTGTATTTCGATATCCACATTCGTCACATTGTTTCGTAGATGTTATCAAAGAAGTTTCACTGTTTTTAAGTAGAATCTGAACCAAATCTATGACATTAATCTGACAGTCAATTATACTTCCATCAAAATTATGTAAATTAGGGTTGTTTCGATTATAGATTGAATTGATCACGCTTGGGTACAATATATTTGCTCTATTTTCATAAAAATCATTCAGCAGAGAAACATCTTTATTAAAACTTGTAAGAGCTTCTAAATATTCACATGATTCCCCTTCAGATAAGATCTTATATACACTATCGATACTTGCAGAACAAATCAAAACTTCTGAAACACTGTCGAAGGCACATATATTTATGAATTTCCTTTTTTTGTTATCATATAAAACCGTATCATTAATTATTCCATTTAAAATAAGAAAAGAGAGTTCTTTCAATTGCCTTACATTATTTACCGAATTTTTATCAGTTTCAATTGTTTCCATTTTTATTGGCATTTGTACTTGTGCTACAATCTTGTCAGATTCAGTCGACAATTTAGTCCATTGTTAAACGACATGGTTTTCGTTTCAAGCTTTCGCCCATTAAAATTTTGTGGCTAGTATCTAAATAATTTTTGTACGGGCAATCGTTGAACGCCATGCTTGTACCATTCAACATAGCTAGAGAACCATCTGTTGAAGCTTCATCTGGCAAAGGAGCACCAAGAGAGATAGGTAGACTCAGAGCATATTGGATCGTATTGGTGTCATGTGCATCGCTCAACATCTGCCACAGTGGTGCAACTTTGGATTCGTGATCTGTAACCATCCTGTAGAGAAATATGTAACCAGATGTTTCATCTGATGCTACAATTACTTTTTTGGCATATCCACCAGATGCATCGATTGACACCCTAAGCTTCTTAACTTTTTTTAGATCTTTCCATAATTGTATTTGATCATCAGTAACAAAATTCACGACAAATGGTTTCTTACTAACTTGTCTGATTTTGGAAAACCCATTTTCACTCAAATACAAGAGAGAATCAAAGACTGCACTAGGACCAGTTAGTTTTAAAGCTTCATCAATTGCTTCCTGTCTCAATTTTCTGATCGTAACTGAATTATTCAAGTAAGCTGGTTTTAAATCAGAATATTCCAATAAATCATTCGCAGCCTCAAGACGAAAAACACCAGCTTTTACATATCGTGCTTTTAGTTTAGCTTTTTTCCTTCGCGTGTTCTTGAGTTGGCGTTTCCTTTTGTGAGCAATTGTTGTACTGTCAAAGGTATGAATATCGATAGAAATACTTTCACTGTCAAGAGAAAAAGTACGAGCACATTCTCCTTCAATATCGTTGAAACATTCCGTACACTTGCCATAAAATTTGAAAAAAGGAAAATCATTTCCAACATAAAATTGATGTTTTGTAAAAGCATAATTACAATTAATTTTTGTATCATTACACACTTTTTCAACTACCATATCCGTCCAATCTTTCTTCAAGACTAGATATTCTCTACCATCTTTGTAAAAAACTCTGTCTGGCTTTATTTGTGCCCACTCTTTTTTATCCAAATGTATTTTCATATTTACTGGTTGGAATTTACCAGAATTGGAAATTTTTCTTGGTATATACTCCTCATCCATCATTAAGTCATCAGTTTCACTTTTTTCGCTTTCAGAAAAATCATCTTTGGGCAGTACATAATTGTAAGATTGATTTACTACTTTAATATTGCCCTGAGCTTTCAAATCATCTTTTAAATTATGCTTATTTTGTTGCACATCAATGTATATCGTATGAGCTGTTTTTTTTAAGCCTATTTTATCTGAAACTTTTTGCCACACTCCACTCTCATCATTCTCTTTTAACAATTCTCCTTTTTCGTTAAAAACGTCAACCACTTTCAAAACTTCCAATAAATCTTTCCATGGAACTGCCGGTTCCATAATATTAAATACAGCCAGACACAAAATCAAATAGAACACTGCATCCCAGCATGCACTTAACACGTTTACAAAAATCAACTGCACTCGTTTAATTCACCGATATAAATAAAAAACGGCAAAAAATCTAATTGAAAAGCTCTTGAGTTAAATTACTATTAATACTATTTTGTTAACTGAGATTTCACGTTTTCTCGGAATTATAATATTTACAACGGTATCTCGTGTGTTACAGACAGAATGCAGACTCTTTCAATTTCATTTCTGTTAAACCACAAGCAGTTATTTAATTTTTTCATTTGCCATTCCTCTATGGTATCATTTTCTCTCAATCCGTACATTTGATGTAAAATGTATTTTTTCACAGTTGCAGAAAGTTTGTCGTCAGGATTTTGCATAAACCTTTCAACGCACTGCCTTATACTTGGTAAACAGAGACATTTCCCCAGGCTCTCTTTGTAATCCAACCAGCTTTGTAGTGCAGGCGCATTAACTAAATTGGCTTGATTTTTTAACTCTTAAAAAAAAATTATGATTAATTATTTAGGCTTCAATATTGTGGAAAAAATGTAATCAATTACAAAGATAAAAGCTCACTTGGAATATCTGCTGCAACAGCTTCAAAATAGTATTCTAAAAATAATTTGACCTTATCTTGATAGGCTTTTCTTTTTCCATAAATAGGAAAAACTGCTTCGCTCCATTTGATTAATAGCTCACTAGAAATACAATGAGTGTTGGCGTCTACTGACACATTCTCCTGATCAATAATTGTAAGGAGTTTGAAATACAAATTATTTTCCCAAGCTAATCCTTGTCTTCTATTAGAATCTGTTTTATTTCTAGTCATAATAGTAATTGTGTGTAACAACGTTTCTAAAGATACATGAAGCCGTTTAACTAAATTAATACATCTAAACCCTGTAAAAAATTAAATGACTTATTAAAATCAAAGATGAATTACATTATAGACTAACAATCAAGGATTTGTCAATTGCTAACTCTAACCACAAAAATACTTACACAAAGATACTGCAGTTTTCCTCTCTTGAGAGGAAGGAGCCTTCGTATATAACTATATAAAAATCAATTAGTATAAACTACTTTACATGGGTTAAAAGCAGCACTCATTTATATATCAAATTCAATTAAAAAATTTGGAATGAACAAAAACATAAGAACTGAAAAAAACATTACTATTATAAGTTTTTAGCGCGTGTAATAGCAGTGTATTCACTTAGATTTTGATCGTCTGCTTTTCTTGTTTGATTGGCTTTATCTGCTGTCAGGTTACCGCGTAACTTAAGCCATTATCACGTAGCAATGACGGGCTTGGAAAGGTAGAAGGAAAAGGAAAATAAAAGGAGAAAAGGGAAAAAAGGAAAAATGGAGCAGTATATAAGAGATGGGAAGAAAGGAAAGAGAAAAGACGATTGAAAAAAATGGAATAATATTTTTATCAATATTATATATATATATATATATATATATATATATATATATATATAAAGAACAAGCTTTATAAAATTGAATATAATTTTACAACTTTTGATACAGGGATCTTCTAAAAGTTTTTCAACAGAGCATGGTTCAATAATTGTTGCCTTCTTAAGTCATTTTAACATAGTTTCTTTTAGTAATATAAATCATGGACAAATCCATAATATGCGATGATCGTCAGCTCATTTTGAATAAGACATCACGGCGCTAGCAATAAGCTAGTAGTTAGAATTATGAGTAATCAAAATTAATGAAAGTATTAAAATGTAAACTCAATAATTTTCAGACATCTAAGACAAATTTTTGCAAAAAATAATTATTTCCCGTGTTAGAGAGAATTCAAATAAAATATCAAAATTTGAGTGTGAATGCAATTTTGATTTTCGGTAAGAGTACAAAATCTCTTGATTTTCAAAAGTCAATCTAACAAATAATTTTATATTTCGCTCGATTTAAAAAATTATAAAATAGCACTTTTTTTCAATCGAAATGTCACATAGGATTACTTGAGGCCCTTATAAAATGTCAGGAAAAACATGAATATTTTATTCTTGAACTAATCCAACAAGAATTATAGCTGAAATTAAAGAATTTTCAAGCGAAAAGTTCTCCAATTTCACATATATAAATTATTTTAGACAATTTTTGTCTAAGAAATGACTAATTTCAATCAATCCATTGTTCATTTTAGCAACCGGTTCACCCTTGAAGTCTGGAAAACTGCATGAAAGAATTCCATTTCCAAAAAATGTGTTCTAAATTAATGAGCAATCTCCAGAAAACGCAACAAAAAAATTCTTGTAGGTTTTTAATCATTTACAAGCATCTTATGTCTTTCTTAATGACTTTCTGATTTCATGACACCCAGACCTGCCTCGACTCCGGCCTAACCACTTATGTATGGATATCTGAAAATGCGTTTACTAAACCGCTGAGAATTGTTCAATGGATTCTCGAGAATAGTTCTCATAGATTTAGTCGACAGAATAAACCGAGATTCCACACGGCCACCGGACTAGCCACCCGTGTCGTTGGAGCTAAAGGGGAAATTCATTTTCCCAAAAAACTGACTACTAAATGTGTGATAATTGTTCAGTGGCCTATAAAGAACAATTCTCACAGATTTAGTAGTTAAAAAAAAATATCTTTCATTTTGCTGTGACAGAATAAATCGAGATTCCGCACGGCCACTGGACTAGCCACCCGTGTCGTTGGAGCTAAAGGGGAAATTCATTTTCCCGAAAAACTGACTACTAAATGGGTGAGAATTGTTCAGTGGCCTCTAAAGAACAATTCTCACAGATTTAGTAGTTAAAAAAAAATATCTTTCATTTTGCTGTGACAGAATAAACCGAGATTCCGCACGGCCACCGGACTAGCCACCCGTGTCGTTGGAGCTAAAGGGGAAATTCATTTTCCCGAAAAACTGACTACTAAATGTGTGAGAATTATTCAGTGGCCTCTAAAGAACAATTCTCATTGATTTAGTTGTCGCAAAAAAATTTATTTCATTTCCTACGGAAAAGCGATAGCGCATTCTGTTTGGACACCGGCGTAGCCACCTTCGTCGGGAAAGCTGAAAATGAAATTATTGTTCGGAAAACCCGTTTACTAAATGGATGAGAATTGTTCAGTGGACTCTCGAGAACAGTTCTCATAGATTTAGTCTCGTAAAAAAGAATCTATTTTCTTTCAATGCAAGCCATAATACCGAATTCGGGTTCGACGCCGCGTCGGCTTCGCTACCTGTGTCGGGAAAACTACGAGGGAAGATCATTTTCTCGAAAAGCTTTGTACTAAATCGATGAGAACTCTTGAAAAGAATTCTCATAGATTTAGTCGTCGTAAAATATTCTATTTTATTTTCTTCGCAAGCACGATTCCCCCTTCTGCCTCGACACCATATATAATAGCCTCCTGTTTCAGGAAAACTAACTACCAAGGAAAAATCAATTTCCTAAAGACTTGTGTATGTCGATGAGAATTGTTGTGTGGACTATAAATATTCTTTTTCGTGTTGCTATGGCACTGTAATACACCATGCTACCGTTCTTCCGCGCGTTCGTAGGTCGGAGGCGCCGCGCCGCGCGCCGTGAGCGTTTGCGCATGCGCGGCAAACCAAAGTTATTATAAATCTAATTATTATCGTTCCTTCCGCACCCTTTGATTTTTTCTCAATTAGGACTACATATTCTTGATGCACAAATTACGCGCAACTCAATGGAGTCGTCAGAATTCGGAAATTTTCAGTATTTCCACGAGAAAATCGCAATCGAAGTTTAGCCAGCACCCGACTTTAATTAATTAATACTGGCGTAATTAAAAGTTGCACAAATTATTTGATCGCGGGTTCTGAACGCGCAGCTTCTGCACAAATTGACGAATATTTTCTAAAAATTTTCATCCATACTCGGGTGTCCACATCACAGATCCGTCTCACTCTCCCTCAGCGTATTTGTTTTTCTCCAGAATCCACACACAGCAGTATAGACACAAACGCAAATCGCTCACGCAGTGTGTCGCCACTCGTCATATGCCGTTTGCTCTTCACGAGCCGCTCGACCTCGACCGAGCTCAGGCCAGCATTCAAGCTTTATCTTTTTGCTTTACCTACTTTTGCTTTACTTTTCATGTTGTACGTTGTACGTACAAGTAAGGCGTACGCGCACATGACGTGCAATTTCTTCGCTCACTTACATGGGTCATTACTGACATCTACAAGCCAAGCCGTCAAGCATTATGAAGCTTTACCCGCAAACTGTTCAATCGACTGTGGCAAGTCGACAATTGAGTTAGTTATTTTACACGTAAGAATTATTGTACACGTGCAGTAACTTAGCGTAAGCATTGATTCACGCTGATTCACGCCATATTACGGTGAACAATAATTTATGTGTATTTATGTGCACAACCTTTACCTTTGTTTCGACCGTCGATTACCTTTGTCATATCTCGACTCGATAAAGTAAATTTTTGAAGTGCTCGAATAATCGATTTTCCATATTTGAACTAGATACACCAATTTGGCGTTCTGTCATACTAGGTGTCAGCTCAAACAATCGCTTGATTAATGCAAGTAGAAACTTTGCCGTTCACTTAAAATAATAGAAGGCTTGTTTAAGCGTGAGTTTGTAAAAAAATTATCAGCAAAGAGATAAGAGTAAAATAAAATAGGTGAATAATTATTGGTCCATATAGCTCTTTATTACTCAAGAACGTCGAATAAGTATTTTTAAAACAAAATACTCGGCTGAAAAGTATAAAATTGTTCGTTTTTACATTATACATTCGCAATAGGTACAAATAACAAATTATATCAAAGTAAAAATGTTTAATCTCAGTTAATAGTAACATAAAATAAACTTTACGGTTTCAAGAGATCATGATTTGCCACTCTACTAATATTTTTATACGTATAGAGCGATAACCTGTACTTATAATTGTCGAATTTCTTTACAAAATATTCATAAAATAACATTGCATTAACAATTCACATATCGTATCTAATATCACAATCTTGGCATCATATAAATATTAATTTTTCGAACTAACAAAAAAAATTTTGACGCTTTTGCACATTGAAAGCTTAAAGTCATAATCTACGTCTAATACAATACATCGAGTTTGTACAATATAAGTAGTATCTCTGTAAAATTAATATTCACAACATTGATTTAAATTAACATGGAATATCAACGTCCCATATTTAAGTTTTAGCACATGCGCACTAGTCAAAGAACACTACATGCCTTTGTACATTACATAGAAAACAGTCTACATTCATGATGTCGATTCAAGACTTCAAAATCTAGTAAATCTAAAAAGAAATTTGAGAAAAGCTAGATTTTACATCATGTATTGTATCGAAATCGTGGCAAAACACGTTCAAGCTTAATCAACTAAAAATTTTTACAGTGTATATATATATATATATACATATATATATGCTGTAAAAATGTATATGCGTGTGTGTGTGTGTGTGTGTGTAAGTTCGCGCAAATGTAAATAAAGAATTGAAAGAATTGATCTAGTTTTTCGGACGGAAGCGCGACATGTAAAAGTCGCAATCAGTACAATAGATCGTGGGTTCGCAAACTGACTTCTTACGACAAAGATGGCATAGATTTAACTTAGGCGCGCCAGATAACGACGACTTTTGTAAGGCTGATATATTTTGATTATTAATAGGAGATCCTTTGACGTTCCCTTGAAGCGTAAGTGCCTTTTGCTGCATTTGATGTTGTAGCTGCTGATGGATTTGTTGCTGCGTAGGCTGTTTCATCTGCTTGACTTGTTGCAAATGCTGATATTGCGGATATTTGAGTGCCGAGGCGATTTGACCATTCGAGTAAGCTTGCTGCGAGTCGATTTTTTGAGGCTGCCGTTGCAGACTATCTAGCCGCTGTTGATAAGGGACTGCCATGCCGTTTTGCATATTATGTGGCTGTGGTTGTTGAATCGGTTGCGAGAGATGTTGAAAATTGCTTGACGGATTTGGAGGAGGTTGATATTGCGGCAACGACTGGTTCATTCTCTGCTGCGGCATGGATTGATAGGCATGGCTCTGATACGAATTCGGGGGGTATTGCGAAGTCGAATACTGAGAGTGCCCGTTGAAAAGATTCGGCGCGTGCAGTTGAACGGTGATCGGACTTGCATTTTGACTAGATAGCCTTTGATTGATGATGTTCTGCTGATGTTGAACGGTCAGAGGGCTCACAGTTTGAGCATGGGATCGCTGGTTCATGATATTCTGCGGATGCTGCTGCGTTTGCTGGAGCTGTGGCATCGACGACTGCCTATTCATTTGATTGTTCTGCTGCTCGAGGAGATAATACGAGTGAAGACCTTTACTGTTGTTTGGCGCCTGCATGCCGTTTTGAAGGTACTGAGTTTGCGCCAGACTGGGATAAGAGTTGACTGGCGTTTGGCTTTGAGCAACAGGCATGTTTTGATTTCTCGGGTGTGCAGTTTGCACTTGTGAATAACCGCTTTGATTTTGCGGATGCATCATTTGTTGCTGGATGGCTGGATTTGGCGCGTAACGTATTTGCTGAGTGACTTGTTGAGCGAACGTGGGGGTCACTCTAGCAGGGTTGTTGGCAGTGCCCGAGTAGTTGGTATGGTTGTCTTGCATCGTTGCTTCGTTGGATCTGGGAATCGGATTGACGCTCCTGAGCTGATCTTGGAATGGAGTGGCTGGCACGCTTTCAGCCTCGCTCTTCAGAGGCAAGGTTTGCTGCTGGAATTTCGTGGGAACGTTCATTTCGCGATTCATCTCGGCCTCCTGTAGACTTCTAATTTCACGAAGCACTTGTGCTGTCTCGGGTTTGTTCATGGCTGATCGAAGCACTCTTTCCAGAATTGGATTTGGAATGTAAGAGTCTTTTTCATCGTCCTCCGCCGTGGCCACCAGAACAACTTGATCGCAGAAGGAAACGCTCTTCTTCTTACCGAGGCGCTTCTTTTGTTTGCGTGGTGAAATGTCGTCTTCGTTGGGCAGTATCGTGGTGTTTTGAATGGTATTCTGCATGGCAACTTCGCTGATGTCGTCTTCGGGACAATCGATGGGCAAACCGTTTTCGTGCGGCAAAGTCAAGGACATGGAGAGTATGGCGGCGTGCAATCCGCTTTCGTTCCCGTTCGGCAAGTTGTTGTTCAGCGTGGAAGACACGAAGGTACTCTGACTGGAATTGGACTCGTTACTCGCGTTCTTCGGACTGTCGATAGCCTCTTTGGCGAGATGCTCGTGCAAGAGGAGCGCGCCATCCACCGCCCTAGTCGGCTTGACTTGCTCCGAGGGATGGTAATCTTGAACGACAGCGACAGTCGCGGGCGAGCTGGAAAAAATGTGATTTTGCGGCTTGACATCGTCGCCTTTTTGCTCGAATTTGGCCGCCATGTCCCGCACGGAAGAGGCCAGAGTTCGCGGACAATCCGTAACGTCTCGACCAGCTTCCGGCGTCGCGAGGCTGTTCATCATGAGGTCGCTGGTCCTTCTGGCGATGGTCGGGGCGGCGGCGTTCGGTCGGATCTTGGGAATATCCTGATCCAAGGCGGCAGCCTGTTTCTTGGTCCTCCTCTCGGCTTGCTTGGCTTGCAACTCTCTGAGCCAGGTCTCAGCGGTGGCCTTGTCGGCGTTCTCCTCCGTTTGCGCCTCGTGTCTCAACCGCTCGGCGGCCTCGGACGCGAGCTTCTGGTCCCGCTTGAGCTTCAGCTGAGCCAGGAGGCTCGTTATTTGCTGAGACTCGTATTGCTGCTGAGTTTGCGTTTGGTGGGCGTTCGCGATCTCGGCTACGTGAGGCTGGCCGTGGTCCTCGATGGGCGGCGGCGGCGGTGGAAATTCCTCGCTGGCCTGCCGCGAGTGAGAGTCCGGGCAGACGAGGGGATACGGTGGCGGCGGGAACTCCTCGCTGGGCTGTCGCGAGTGCGAGGCGTTGGCGCCGACGTTGGCGCCGACGCTGGCGCCGGCGTTGGCGCCGGCGTTGGCGCTGTCGGGGTACGGTGGGAGGGCCTCTCCGCCGAGCGCCTGCTTGCCCAGACTCTGCTCGCTGTGAATGTCGGCTCGCGTCACAACGAAGGTGGGCTCGTAAAGTATCCCGTTGGCGTACTGAACGACGTCGTCCTGAACGCGCGGCTTGCTGGTGTAGACGCTCTGGGGCGTCGGCGCCGACGGCTTGCTCTGATCGCAGCCGCCGTAGGACGCGGAGACCAGGGGGGGCAGGGAATGCGGCTCGGAGCCGTAGTCCGCGTAGCCCGACGTCGGCCTGCCGTTTTGCAGGGCCTTGCTCACGGCGCTCGCGTGGCTCCAGTAGGCGTTGCTCTGCAAACGGACGATCGACGGCTGCAGCTGGCGCGAGGCGAGGCCGTCGGCGGCGCCGAGCTCCGCCTGCGACTGCTGGCCGACCGGCTGCTGACCGGCCGACTCGCCGGGGCGCGGGCAGAGGGGCTTGTCGGCGTGCTGCTGCTGCTGCTGCTGCTCGCCGCCGCCGCCGCCGCCGCCGCCGCTGCGCGCTTCCTTCGAGCACTTAGACTTGCTAAGCTGAGAAGTGGTCCTGAGCGGCGGCGGCGGAGGGACCTTGGCCACGTGCAGCACCTTGCCCGCGCTGCCGTGGAAGCTCTTCCTCATCAAGCGGCTCCGCTCCAAGTTGGGGTTGCCCGAGCTGGCGCCGCCGGCGCCGTGGAACTCCAGGTGGCCCTCGGACAGGTAGCCGCTGAGCGAGGCCGAGGCGGCGCCGGCCTTCAGGCCGACGCTCGAGTCGTCGAGGGTCTGCTTGGGCGGCGCGCCGCCCGAGGCCTCGGAGCCGGTGCTGGCGCTGCTCTGGCCGTCCTGGCCCTCGCGCAGGTCCGGCATGCTGCGGTTCTTGCGCCTGATCAGTCCGCCCATGAGCAGCCTCCTGCGGATCTTGTGCTGCTTCTTGCCCTGCTTCTGCTCGGCGGGCGCCGAGGCCGCCGACGGGTGGTGGC